TAGTAGTAGTAGTAGTAGTAGTAGTAGTAGTAGTAGTAGTAGTAGTAGTAGTATCTTCTATGGTTGTAGTAGATCTTTACAAGACGAATATTAGTATTTGAATTGCACAAACGAAGTAGCCAGGTAAAAGTTTTATTTAAGTCTGCCCTACATTAGCCAGAAATTAAGAAATCTCTAATAGCATGTTTCATTTGCACTGCCGAGATCAATAACATGATGAAATTGCACAATATTATAAGCCTAGCTAGGCCTAGATCTATGTATTTTGGTGATTACGTTCTGGGCACGCTACAATCTTCCAAACGCTTGTCCCCATGGTTTTATTCACCGCCTATAATTTAGCAAAATTTGATCATTTTTTTCGTAATTACTGATTATTTCATATAATTTCATATTTTTGGGCATAGTTTGCATAATTTCATAATTTTTCTTGCATAAAACGACGGGGACAGAAATGCTTGTTTTGTGTTGTTGTTGTTGTTGTTTTAGCCTGATAATGGTATGGAAGTGAACCAGACGAACTGACCTCGTGCGCTAGATCCAGTCTGCTGGCCGGAGTTTGGTGACCCTTGTTCTACAGGACATTTAATTTTTTTGTAGGTGTTTTTACGACGTTCACAATAAGTGCATGAGGTCATATTATGAGCGCGCAGGACACAATAAACATTACCAGTCGCTAGGAGATTTTAAGTTTTGCCAGGTGGCGGCCGAAGCCTACTCTAATCGATTTTGGACCACCAAAGGATCTTTAGCGTACGCAACTTGCACACAGGACCTTCGAGATTTTTCGCCCTTATCGAGAAGGCTAGGTGTTCGATCTTACCTTTCATAAGATCAGGGGTGGGGATGAAACACTGTACAGTAAGAAGGAGCAGCAGTAGAAAAAGGCTGTAGAAAGAGTCAGCGAGTCCACAGAGAGGGGGCAAAAGAGGTTCAATTCGAGGGGGTAGGGCAGAAAATGGAGACGAAAGCAGACGACAGAACTAGAAGTACATTGTTACAGAACAGGAAAGGTGCAAGTAGAACATTTTTAAAGAAGAAATTTTTCCGAGACTATCCGGATTCGAACCCAGGAGCTATTGAACGAGAGGCGAACACCGTTATAGTCGCTTCTAAAGGGAATGGTAAAAATGTGGCTACTTATTATGGGTATTTCCATAATTCTGTCCTCGTCGTTTTATGCAAGAAAAATAATGAAATTATACAACCTGAGCCCCAAATTGTGAAATTATGCTATTCTTTTTTTTTTAAACCAAAGAATGATAAAAGAAAATAATAAGAAATTATGCAAAAATTGTCAAATTTTGCTAAATTATGCGGGGTGCATAAAACCACGGGGACAGAATCAGATAATTAGGAGTTATAATATTATTGTTCAAGATATCATTCATTTATCGAATATGTTTTTTTCTGCCTTGTAATTTTGCAAAATTAAGTTAAAAATTAAAAACAAGAAATTAATTAGAAACTCCCCCCCCCCCTTCCACATCTGAGAAAATAAACAAACGAATGCTTCGGAGTGCAAAAAAAAGATGATTATGAGCCACATGGGTCAAAGGGTCACAGCAGGTAAGATGACTGCCCAGCTGACCGACCTCAGATGACCCGCGAGCCTGACCGCACAGTGGACCATTGCGACAGCTGGGCGCTCGCACTTCCCTTGTCCTAATTACATTTGTAGGCCCACAGTGTGTACATGAAGACCTACTTTGTATCACCAGCCACTGCTATAACTAAATGAACAGCGCACAGCCCCCCCCCACCCCCCAAAAAATAAAGGGCCTACAATAAGCAACAATTATTATAGGCCAACTAATACCGGTATAATAATACAACAAATTTGCTTTATACTACGTCTACATGGTACACTGTACATGCATTATACTTTATACTCTATTACTATTAATTAGTAAGTAGGTCATAATATAGGCTATTTGGATTTATACACACTTGTAAAAAGTAAATAAAGCAGTACATAATATTATGGTTTTATTTGAACACGTAATGAAATAAAAGTTACATTAAAAAAACAATTATTCGAAACCAGCTGATAAATTAATGGGTGTTTTTTTCTTCAGCTATCGTTGACGGACTGAAGACTTCTGACTTACCTGCCCTTTGTAGTTTCCGTTTCTTCGCGTCTCGGTTTTTGTTTGGGCCAGTTGTTGTTGTTATTGTTGAATTAGCCCAAGCAAACAGTACAGTCAACATCCGTTCTTTTTTTGTGTGTGTGCCCATTTGCCGCAGTTGCAAGAGAAACGTTTGCACGCAATCTTTAGGGGACGACTTCACAATGTCAACTCATGACTGTTGCTGGGCAGCTCTGTCAAATATCATAGTTTTGGAGAAAATATTCAAGAATCTAAATGCTCGGGAACTGAACGGCTGTTCAAGGTCGGTAGGAATACACTGTGTTACTGTGTAACACTAACACAAGGGTTTCTTTTATCCTTGCTTTGACTTTGGACTAGGCTTGGGTTGGGCTCGCAAAATTAGCGTCTGCGAGTAACGAACTACCCGCTGGCACTACCCGCAAACGAGCGGACGGCTAACGAACCGTCCGTTTGTGAAGAGTAGTTTGCTACTCGCTACTCGCTACACATCGGACAGAGACAACAGTTCGTTTAGCGGACGGGCGGACCGAGAGACTCCATGCATTCGAGCGGGCGG